ATCGGTGCAGCTCTGGCTGTTGCAGCCAACTGAGGAGTGAACCAACAGGTGGAAGATATCTCTCTATCTCTACCTCTCCTTCTCTCTGTGTAACTCTTTCAAATAAATAAATAAAATTTTTTTAAAAGATCTGCCATCAAAATATTTGAGAGACTTGCTCTGCACGGTTGCTGAGTTGAGGGTATAATCCATTATGAAAGCCTTGGCCATCATCCCTGGGGAGAGATGATTTTGTGCACCCTGAAGCCACTTTGATTCAACCCATGGGAGACAGGAAGAAGAGGTGAAATGGGGTTAATTATGGACTGCAGACACTATCTCCCCAGTAATCTTCTTCTCATCAAATATTTACCAAGCATCTGCTCTACCTGGGTCTATTCTAGGCACTAAAGCCACACAGGAGACAACTTGGTGCAGCTCTAATGGAGCTCCCAGCCTGGCAGGGACAGGCACGTAAGTAGGCCGGCAGATGCGGAGCAGGAATTATCAGCCTAATGGAGACCCTGTTCAGGGCTACTGCCTGCAGGGGCGACCTCCACCCCCGCCCCCCCCCCCCCCCCCCGCGCCAGCATCTCAGTCTGTCCTCCCACATACGTTCCTATTCCAATGCAAACCTCCCTCCAGAATCAACACAAAGACCAACCTCAGCCCCCGCAGAATTTAAGCAAAGGAAAAAAAAAAAAAAAAGAGTGCTAGGAATGAGTGATTGGAACTCTACTATTTATCAGTTTTAAAATACCATCAAGGGGGCTGGTGCTGTGGTTTAGCGGATTAAAGCTACATCCTGCAGTGCGGGCATCCCATACGGGTGCCTGGGTGCCGGATTGAGTCCCAGCTGCTCCCTTTCTGATCCAGCTCCCTGCTAGTGCGCCTGGGAAAGCAGTGGAAGACGGCTCAAGTGCTTGGGCCCCAGCACCCACGTGGGAGACCCGGATGAAGCTACTGGCTTCGGTCTGGTACAGCCCTGTTGTGGCCACTTTGGGGTGAACCAGCAAATGGAAGATCCATCTCTCTCTCTCACCCTGCCTTTCAAATAAATAAATTTTTTAATCAAACAAATAAATAAATCTTTTAAACAAACGCTGCTAAGATGCTCCAGAACTGTCATGGAAAATGACGGTTCATGGAGATCTCACCCCTCTGGTTGAAGAGTGTAGATTCAGTTTATCCATTCTCTCAATTTGTTTTATCAAAGAATGGATTTGTTTTTCTTGGCTTTTGGGAGTCCCTCCCATGTTTATAGATGATGAGTCTTCCTTAACAATAGATTCTGTATGTAGGAGCAAAGGGCTATGAATTATTGATAAGGAATCAATAAATAATCAGACTAGTGCCTCTTCTGTTGCTATGATACAGCAGCACAGTATGATATGGATGAAGTACCATATTAGGAATATTTAGAATTTCACAAGATGTCAATACATACATGAACTGCAATCTGTCTGGGGTTGGCAGCGTCTAGTTTGGGGAAGTGAGACTTCTTGGCCAGTGGCAGGTCAAGACATTGCAAAGAATGAAGCTGTGAATTGAGGTGGAAATAGCCTGTAGGCTCAAGGAGCTCCTGGAGGTGTGTGGTGCTCGGACAGATGACTGGCTGACTTTTCATTCATAGTTTCATCAAATGGTTACTCTGAATCAGCTGTGGTGAAGCTGTGAAAAACAGTCCCAGCAACCTAGGATCTTGTCAGGGGAAGATGGGCAAATTAGCTAGCAATTATAATACCATGAGGTAAGAGGCAAGATGGAGTAGACAAGAAGCTCATGGGAGAGGCTGGCGTGTGGCATAAGAGGTTCAGCCGCTGCCTGCAATGCTGGCATCCCACATAAGCACCGGTTCAAACCCTAGCTGCTCCACTTCAATCCAGCTCCCTGCTAATGCGCTGGGGAAAGCAGCAGCAGATGGCCCAAGTGCTTGGGCCCCTGCACCCATGTGAGAGACCTGGCTCTTGGCTGTGGATTGGCGCAGTTCCGGCCATCTAGAGAGCGAACCAGCGGATGAAAGACCTTTCTGCCTCTACTTTTCTCTGTAACTCTTTCAAATAAATAAAAATAAATCTTAAAAAAATATGTAATAAGTCCACATATGAACGATTAATCGAGGGTGATATTTATTTACTTTTAAAGATTTATTTGCAAGGCAGAGTGACAGGAAAACAGAGACCTTCCATACATGGGTGCACTCCTCAAATGCCTGCAATAGCCATGGTTGGCGATGCTGAAGCCAGGAACCAGGAACCCTATCCAGGTCTTTCCCATGGGTGTCAGGAGCCCAAGTACTTGGGCCACTGTCTGCTGCTTTCCCAGGATGCATTAACAGGGAGCTGGATCAGAAGCAGAAAAGCACGGACTTGAACCAGGCACTCTAATATGGGATGTGGGCTTCCCAAGCAGAGGCTTAACCTGCTGCACCACAATGCCAACCTCATGATGTGTTATTTAATGTATAGGGAGAAAATAAGGGGTACAGAAATTAAGGTATCATTGTACCTTAACCCACCTTTCCTTAACCCTCCTTCCTAACTGGAATTATCTGTTCACTTGCTGGATGTATGAGGGTACTTCAAAAAGTTTGTGAAAAAAAAAAAAGTGGAATAAAAAGATTATATTGGGGTAAAAATTTTTTGAAACCTCTGCATTTATTCATAATAGGTATTTTTGTAACTTCTTTAAGATCCCTGTAGGCATTGTAAATTTTCCCGCACCATTATAAACCTACCTTGTAATTTCATTTTCCATTAACTTTTTTTTTTAAGTACCCTCACATAGTCACTCTGCTAAATTTGCAAATGCAACTTGCGGTTATTTATTTTAGTATCATCTATGCTACAAATCAGAGCACTGTGACAACTACATTTTTTTTTTCCATCTAAGATTTAGTTTGCTAATATAGTACAATAGTCTGTTCTCTGAGCATGTGAGGCCTCTCGAGAAAATTTCTGGAGTCTGCAATGTGGTCACCTGTTTCCAATTAGCTCCCTGCTAATGCACCTGGGGAAGTGGCGCAGATGGCCCCAAGCACTTGGGTCCCAGCTACCCAAGTGGGAGACTAGGATGGACTGCCTGGCTCCTGGCTTCAGCCTGGCCCAGCCCTGGCTGTTGTGGCCATTTGGGGAGTGAACCAGCAGATGGAATATCTCTCTCTGTCCCTACCTCTCTCTCTGTCTTTCAAATAAATAAATCTTTTTTAAAAAACAACAGAATACAAACATCGCGAGAAAATGTGCAACACCAAAGACTTGTACAGTATCTTTGGTACAAAAGAATCTTTCCTATGAAACATGCAGGGTCACTAACCATGGGAAGAAATGTTCTCCAGAAATATCAGAGTGGCTAACGATAAGATCAATGTTGAATCATTATTCTAGTGAGGATAAAGGATAATAATGGCTATCTGAGTAAACTGGCACAAGGTGAATCCATCTACATCACTCAGTATCACTATAAACAGTAGCGCTGCCATCAACAGCAAAAGCTACTAACAGCCCACGTATTCAGCAACTGAGCAGTCTCCAAAGAATCTGCTATGGCCCTATCACATCTCGTTTACCAGACGCAAGGCACTGTTCTAAATGTCTCAAAACTTGCTGTAATGTTTCATCATTACAGCGGCCCCCGAAGAATGTTTTATAGATGAGGAAATTGAGGCATAGGAGAAAACTGTTCAACACTGCAGAGCAGGTGGCACTCTGACCCAGGCAACGTCTGCAGTGGTTAGAGGCAGAGCTGAAATAGGTAGATTTTAATGTGTTCACCAGGTAAGACGGACAAGACTTCAGTGAAAAAATCCAACATAACTACTTGTTTCTGTTAAATAGTATTTAAATGTATAAAGTATGAAAATGGATAAAGAACTGTACTTTGGGATGGAGGTGGGAGGGACAGATGAATGAGGTAGGTTTTATAATTTTTTTTTTTGACAGGCAGAGTGGACAGTGAGAGAGAGACAGAGAGAAGGTCTTCCTTTGCCATTGGTTCACCCTCCAATGGCCAGAGCACCGCGCTGATCCGATGGCAGGAGCCAGGAGCCAGGTGCTTTTCCTGGTCTCCCATGGGGTGCAGGGCCCAAGCACTTGGGCCATCCTCCACTGCACTCCCTGGCCACAGCAGAGAGCTGGCCTGGAAGAGGGGCAACCGGGACAGAATCCGGCACCCCGACCGGGACTAGAACCTGGTGTGCTGGCGCCGCTAGGCGGAGGATTAGCCTAGTGAGCCGCGGCGCCAGCCACAATTTTTTTTTGTTATAGAATTATAGACCAGGATAGTAATGATATAAATAGGTTTCATGAATGATTTGGGAACTGGAGAATTTTTAAGAACAGTATAACTTCATCTTTCCACCACACATCCAAGGTAGACATGAGATGGAAGATGCTACAGTGACTGCCAGTTCTGAAGATGGAGGGGGCCAGGAGCCAAAGGATGCAGTTGGACCCTATAAATGGAAAGAAGACAAGAAACCAAATCTGCCATGGGAGCCTCCATAAGACATGCTGAACTGTAAAGGCACCAATGAATGTTTGAAGCCATTATAGTCGTTTGTTTACAGTACCAATAGAAATTAATCAGAGTATCTGAGAGAATGTACAAGGACAACACTTTCCAGAAAAGTCCTTCAGAAAATTTCACATAGGGCTACCAACTGCTATGAATAGAAGTTCTGTATTCTCTTCTGTGACTCCGCTGCTGAAAGCAGAGCTGGATCTGTCAGGAGACACAACATGCAGCAGATGGGACTGCACTTCTGAACCAGTCCCATCAGAGAGCTAGATTCTAAGTACCCAATTTTCACTTCAATGAGGAATTACTTTTAGGGACCACATTAACCTGATTTTTATCTCCCTGCTTTTAGTTTCTGTGGAAAGTCTAAACCTCACAAGCTCAAAGATCTGGGATATGTACTCTAATGCTCTAGTGGTTTCATCTAATTCATAAAAATGAAATAATAAGTGTATGTAGCTGTTTCTATGCCCATTGTGAAAGTAATCAGATAAAGAGAAAAATCACATAAAGGAATATAAAACTATTTATTGACCACTGTTCACCAGTATTTACAATAAAGTAAACAATATACAGTTGGATAACATTCTGATTACTACAAAGTTATTTTTCCTGGCATCTGCTGAACCAGTAACCCAAACACCGCGAAGATTGAGCCTACATGTAAGGAATGAGACGGGACAAAGACAAAACATGCAGGTCAATAATTTAGATTACAACCACTTGTTTACCCACTTATGCCAGCAGGTCCTAAAATGCCAATGTCTAACAATCTGATCAGGTTTTCAGGAGCCAAGTCTTAGTCATTCCATGAATCATGGCCTTTTAGTAGATACAGCATAGGGATTTTGGCGTTTGTAAAGTAATGGCTCGCTAGAACAAATATTCAAATGTCCATTTACCTTGCTTATTTAGTTTATTACAGCACACCAGGATGTCTATTTTCTGATCTCGGGAGGGATGACTACTAGTACCAATAAAGTTTTTATAAGCCATTGCATTTATGACTATAGATTTAGATACAGGTTCTGATATGGCTTCTTTTAAATTATCTAATTTAACTTGTCCAAATGACTTACAAACTATTTAATTTAAAAGGTTATGGCTTCATGAAAATCTTCAGTTTAACTTGAAGGGACTTATTTCTTAGGTTGCTCAGAATGATGGAACCTCAGAAACATGGGTCTTCCCATGGTTTTTCTTTTGGTAAAATTTAAAAACAAAAACAAAAAAAGAAAACCATTTATAAAAGTATACACATACAACAACCCAGAATGGTCCTTTAGTATCAGTTAAAATCAAGTTCTGATTGAAGAACTGACTATGACAACTTTCCCCAATATTCAGAAAAGCAAACGTTCTTTTCTGATAAAGGAAGCAACTACAGAAAGCTTTTATCTGTTAGAAGTAACCAGTGCTATCGATGCAAAAAATAAAAATAAAAAAATTCACAACAACTCCCCCAATACTACTTTCAAAACCAATGTATCAAACTTGATTTTCATTAGAATGTAGTTATTTCTTCACACTAGTAAATCGAAAACCAAGACCCAGATTTTATATATATATATAAATATATATAAAAAAACAATGCAAACAATTACTGAGCTTCATCTTCTGGACAAGAATGCCAAGTTAATCTCTCTTCATAAAAAGCAATCACAATCTGAGGACATTTCATATTTGCCTCTTTTGCCAGCACCAAGTCAGCCTCATCTGAATCTTTCCTGTTGTAAGGGAAAAAAATTCAGTTAAAAGCTCATATTTTAACTGTTCATTTAAGAAATAATTCAGTAGTTACTCAAAAGGTATTAAGTGCTCCAGAAGGATACTTGGAATAGTTCATGGAAAATGGAATCAGAAGATACATTTAGGGGGCGGGCATTCCTAATCCACTTATCTAGTGCCCGGATTCAAGTCTCAGCTCAGCTCCTGATTCCAGCTTCCTGTTACTGTGCACCTTGGCCCAACCCAAGCTCTTTTGGGCATTAAAGGAGTGAACCAGCAGATGGGTGATGCCACTCTGCCTTTCAAATAAAAATAAACTTTTTTTATAAAAAGATTTTATTTATTTGAAAGGCGGAGTTACAGAGTGACAGAGAGAGAGAGAGAGAGTCCTCCATCTGCTGGTTCATTCCCCGGATGGCAGCAATGGCTGGAGCAGCACTGATACGAAGCCAGAACCAGGAGCTTCTTCCAGGTCTCACAGGGGTCCAAGGACTTGGGCCATCTTCCACTGCTTTCCCAGGCCATAGCAGAGAGCTGGATCGGAAGAGGAGCAGCTGGGACTAGAACCAGCGCCCATATGGGATGCTGGCGCTTCAGGCCAGGGCTTTAACCCACTGCGCCACAGCGCCAGCCCCAAAATAAACATTTTTAAAAGAAATTTATTTTGTCACAAAAGAAATTTTTGCCAAAATAATTTCTGTTAGCAAAAACAACTACAATCACCCTTTCAAAAAATGATCAATGACAGAAACTATAAAACCTTCCTCAGATACAGTATCACAAACTTTTAAAAAACATGCCCACTTACCCTGACTTTAAAATTTAGCAATCACCTGCACACTTACCATTTCATGAGAAACATCAATTCTCCACTGCTGTCTGTGGCACCAATTATTCGTTCAGGATCAAGACCTCTGGCAAAGCCTCTTGGTTTGTCAGCCTGTTTGGAAGAGGTTAAATGATTATTCACATAAATGTTTCCTCAGAGCAAACAAAGAATATCAACTTCTAACTTGTCTTCCTGATAATGTAACTTTTAAATAATCACCTTCCAGTATGGGCATTTGGCACAGCAGTCAAGACTCCACTTGGGATGCCCACATTCCCTATGAGAGTGCCTATCACATTCCTTATTGAGTCCAGCCCTTGTTTTCTGCTAATGAGCACCCTGGAAGCAGCAGTTGATGGCTGACATACTTGGATCTCTATAACCCACCTGGGATACCCTGTTTGCGTTCCAGGCTCCAGCTGTGACCTAGCCCAGCCCTGGCGGTTGCAGCCATTTGGAGAGCAAACCAGTGCATGAAAGCTCTCTCTCTCTCCTTGCCTTTCAAATATATATATATATATAAAATTTAAATTTCTAAAAACCATTCTGAATCAAGTCAAGAAAACACACTTCATGCAAAGACATCAGGGAGGAGTGCACATTATGGTGCAAAGAGTTAAACTGCCGCTTGGGGTACCCCACCCTACGCTGGGGTACAATGGCTACTCTGTTTTCAATTCAGCTCTCTGCTAACCTGCCTAGAAAGTCCAAATACCTAAGTTCCTGCCACCCACATGGGAGGTCTGGATGGAGTTCCTGATTCCTGCCTTCAGTCTGGCCCAGCCCTATCTATTGTGGGCATAGGGGGAGTGCACCAGCAGACGGAAGATATCTCTCTGCCGTCATTAAAAAAAAAAGACATCCAGGGCAGACTGTGTAGAAGTATAGTGAAAAACTAATTCTTTTATTTGTGGTAATAATAACAATTATAAACACATGTAAGTCAACATTTTAAATCACTTCCAGGAATCCTCAGAAATACCACTCTACTCAATTTTGTTGTAGAAGTTATTTTTCATATTAAAATTAAGTTTAAAATGCAACTGGCATTTATTATTCTTAACAAATATTTTAAAATTTGTTTTAATTTCTAGTAAATACTTGAGTTATATATAAATTTTGGGACCCCCTGTAATTTTCTATAGTGTAAAGGACTCCTCACGGCCCAAAGTTTGAGAACTGATGATATCAATAAACCTTTTATTCCTACCACCTTTTATAACAAAGTCCCAGACTCTGGGGCTAGACTGCTTACATTAGAATGATGGCTCTACCCCCATAAACTATGTGACCTTGGGCAAATTAATTAGCCTTTTTGTGATACAGATATTTTAGACACTTTTACTATATAAAATGCAAACTGAACTATTTAGAACACTGCTTGGCACAAGTTAAGAGCTCAGTATAGGCTAAGTATTATTAAACTATGCTTCTCTTGAGCATGTGACATTTTCAGAACCCAATTTGTACCCAACCTCTTGCTTCTGATCTGTAAAATAGCCTAATACCGATAACCTTACTAGGTCTGCCATTTAGATTTGTCTGATGTTCTTGCCATCTAATATCTGCACGATCTAATTCCAAATCCAAAGTCCCTTTACCAATTTAATCTGTACTACACACTTAGTACCTGAGCCTAGAAATTAACCAGGTGCTCAGATCTTTCCCCCAAGTGCCATGCTAGGCCACTAGGCAGGGCAAGAATAATGTTTTCGAGTCAAGTGCAGAAGTGGTTTCCTGATGTGGCCAAAGTCAGAGACGTAAGTGAAAGAAGACTGGATCAAATCACATGTATAGTTATTCAACTCAATGTCTAAATCCACACCAGTAAAACATGAAGAAATGTTTATTATCAAAGACTATATATTTCTAAATAAAAGGACTGCTTTGCAACACAAAGACCATATCCAAAATATGTTCTGGTGGTTGATGCCACTAATGGACTACAGCTACTAGATATGCTATCTGGACTGTTGCTGCTGCCATGGGAAGACTTCCAGTGATCCAACCTTAGAGCAGGGATCAGATCTGAGTCCACCAAAAACAGTACTAGCATAACATCTTAAGTGGCATAAGCACTGACTGCAAATTTGTACAATGTAGGTTCAACAATGCCTATCCTTTTTTTGTTCTAAGTATTAAGCATCTATAAATGTCTTCTTAATGGCATTTCAAAAGTACCTTGAGCTTTAAAGAAAGAATATTTAAAAGTCAAGCCATCAACCTTCTAATTTAAAAGCCAGTCTGGTGGGCCATGTTTTATACTTACAGCATCTCTCTTCTTCTTTGATTTGCTATCATCAGATTCACTGTCAGATAAAGATTTTCTTTTTGTACCATCTTTTTCTTTACCAGCTTTTTGAGAATTAAGAAATGCTTCAATTAACTCTGGACAATCTAAATTTTCTTCAGGTTCCCAAGTATTGTCAGCACTGTGTTCAGCAAAAAAATGTTGATTCAATTAAACATGGTTCATCACCACCATCTGGATCCACTTAATAGATATCTGCAAAAAAAGTCCTCTGTACTGCAGATACTAATCATTCCTGCCCTACTGCCTGTATTCTTGAGAGTTATCTGCCTATATCTCCTTGGATCTGCTTTCATAGCCCTAAGTGAGCCATCTATTTCACCTCTGCTTAAGTGAACCTGATTCCAGTACCATAATGGAGTATAATACACAAGGTCTTCAAAAGTTCATGGAAAATGAATATTACAAAAAAAAAAAAAAAACTAAGCATGGATTTAAAAAAAACAACCTTTCAATTCTGTTTTTTAACAAACGTTTTTTCTGTTAAAGTTTTATTTGCGAGGCAGAGAATGAGAGACGGAGAGCTGCCATCTGTTGGTTCACTCTCAAATATGCACAAGAGCCTGGGCGTTTGTTACTGGAGCCAAAGACAAGAGCTGGGAACTCAACCTCGGTCTCCCACTTGGGTAATAGGAACACAATTACTTGAGCCATTATTATTGGTTCTCAGGGTCTGCATTAGTAGGAGCTAGGAAAGAACCCAGGTACTGTAATGTGGGATGCCAATATCCTAACTGCTAGGCTAAACGCCTGCTCCCATGAATAAACTTTGCAAAGCATCCCTATATTTCTCTAAGTTTCACAGACAAGCTACATCAGAATTTTTCTATAAGGGCTTTCAAAAACTGTATATTCCAGAGTAGATGTTTGGCTAAGTGGGTAAGATACCCATGTCCCACACTTGAGTGTCTGGGTTCAATTCCTGCCTCTGGCTTCTAACTCCAACTTCCTGCCAATGCAAATCCTAGAAAGCAGCAGTGATGGCTCATGTAATTGGGTTCCTGCTGCCCACTTGGGAGAACTAGTGAGTATCCCCAGATATTGGCTTACCCCACTCTCCCACCCATTGCCAGCATCTGGTGAGTGAAATCAGCAATGGGAGCTCTTCTCTCTGCCGCTCAAATGGGTAATGAAATGAAATGGCAGACTCCCAATTCCCACCCCCAATTACGTCTGGGATTGGAATCTCCAGTACTCCAATACAAGAGTGTTTCTAAAGTTCATGGGAAAGCGGCTGACATTGTGGCATAACAGGTTAAGCCACCACCTGGCATCCCAGATGGGCGCTGGTTTGAGTCTCTGCTAATGTGTGTTGGAAAGCAGTGGAAGATGGCCCAAGTCTTTGGGCCCCCAAACCCATGTGGGAGACCCAGAAGCAGCTCCTGGTTCCTGGCCTCAGCCTGGCTCAGCCCTGGCTTTTGGGGCCATTTGGGGAGTGAACCAGCAGATTGATGACCTCTTTCTCCCTCTCTCTAACTCTACCTTTCAAATAAATAAAATAAACATTTTTTTAAAAAGTTCACAGGAACATAAAATTGAAAAGTTTATTTTGGGGTAAAAGAAAAATTGAAATCCATGCACAATATCCATTTTCCATTAACTTTTTGAAGATCCCTACTGTATTTTAAAATTCTGAGGCATTCTCAAATGTGAGACTATATTTTCAATTTCTGCTGGGTACTCAAAATGGGAAATAAATATAAAGCAGGAAGTGACAAACCAAGTCAATTCCAGCCTTTTGTATGGAATGTCTTTTAGTTTTTCAAATGGTTGGGGGAAAATTTACATAATATTTGAATTTCAGGATCCATAAACAAAGTGTTTCTGGAATTCAGTCATGCTCATTTGCTTAATATATTATCTTTTGCTGCTTCTGTACTACCTCCCAGAGATGTTAGAGACCTGCAGTGCTTACTTTATGACACGTTAGGGTTAAAGAATCCCAATTCATAATTTAACATAAAGTTGAGATGACCATTTCTATATAATTTTCACAATGGCTGTGAAGAAAGAGTATCAATTAACAAAGATAAAAGTCAGATCATCCTACACTAGCGATAGGCTTGCTAGCTTTTTGTGCTCTGGTTCACAAAGCCCCACAGGAACTAGAGGGAATGAAATTAATCTTACAACTGATAGGAAAGATGCTATTGGCCTCTGGCATTTACTAACTTGCTCTGTTGATATCCTGAGGCTCCAAAATTAGCACACAGGTTGACTAGGAAGTCTCCATTCTGTAGTGTTATTTTCATCATAAACTTCTACATTACCTATATACTGCACATGCAGGTTTTCAATCATACTGTGACCTCAGGTTTGGGAAGAAAAGGAGGGAGGGATCCATTCATTTTCTAATGTTTTGATGGGTAAAACACGATTCCAAGAAAAACTGTCCATCTTGTGAAAGCAATTGATTCTAGCAAACTGGCTAAATCCAATTTTAAGTTCACAGACTTGTTTTGTTTGGTTCTGGTATCTGATGTGCAGGAAATATTTTTAGTGAAAATCTGGATTTGTGATATATACTTAGGCTCACCTAAGTATATTGAATAGCAAAACAGGGAAGCCTAAATCTTCCATTCAACTCCTAATTCCCAACTGCTATGGAGGCAGCTTTATACGTGGGCAGTGGAAGAAAGTGTAGTGAGAATTACTGAGGCCTAACCATCTCAATATCATGTCCCCATCTCTACCATGCTCAGGAAATTACTGCTTTCCACCTATCTACCTTTTTTACCTGTTATTGCCCATGGAGCTTTAGCTTGTTTCTGTCGTCTAAGGCAGAAGAATCCATGTAGATTAGTACAATAAACATGTGTGAAGAGTGTAATTTCTACATGTTTAAGTTATTCAGGAAACAGCTCACAAAGTGATTATGAGAGCAACTCCTAACAAGGAACACAGGCTCTAGCTCTTAGAGATTAGGACACGGTAAACTTCAGTCCTGATGCAAATTCTGAGTATCAGTCTGTACCAAATAGCTTCAAGAATTTTTAGTACCCTTTGTTTGAAAGGAGTAGATTAGATATGCTAGTCAGTACAATATCCAACTACAACAAAATGAATTACATAGTAAACTACATTCTGTGATTTTATAAATTTGACTCTCCAGGGTAATAAATCAGTCTCCACCCGATCTGCTGAGTTTCAACAGTAGGCTAAGGACTCTTTCTAAGCAGACTTCAAATAAGAGACCCTAGAATTAAGGTGTCTTTAAGTTTAAAGAGACCTATGGAAAAACTGGTAACAGACTCAGGCTAAAAATAAAATTTAAAGCCATTTAAGTGCAATTAAATGCACAATAAAGAAGCACTAAGATTTCTTACTCTGTAAATCCCTTCCACTTCAGGAAATACTCCACCTTCCCATTCACTACACGTCGGTCCAATACTTTCTCCACCACAAATTCTTCAGGCTCTGCCTCTTCGACCTTTTTACTCTTTCCATTCTGTTTCTTTCCCATTTTTTGCTAAAACAAAGCAAAAGGGAAGTTAAGATTCTCTTGAGTATGCTTTAAAGGCTTAATTGCTTATATTGACCCACCATCCTGCAAATGACACAATCAAAACCCCCAGTTCTATCTCTAGGTAGCCTATAAGACTCAATTTAATTAGAATTTCCACTCATTTTAACCACAAAACAGCAACAATCGACTAGGAAGTATTATAGGATGATAAAGACAACAGACTAAGTAGCAGAGTAGTAGTAGAGAGATCTTAACTAACCCAAACAGCAACATTCAAAGTGTCAGTGACACAGAGAACAGTTAACTGCAGAATGAGAGCATGGTTCAGAACCCTAGTATCAACTGCAGAGTTGACTATGGAGACCATGAGTAAATTAACTATTATCTGGAGATAATATTCCTGAACACTTGGAACAAATTTAGAATGCTGCCACTTCAAGAGGCCAAAATGTCAGATGGTTTTAATTCTCTAAAATGATAAACCTTTATGGTTTCTTTGAAATCCAAACTGGTGGCCAACCAAATTTAAAGAGGGAGGTTAAAAAAAAAACCACAATATTTAAAACTGCAATAGTAAATAGTAAGATGTTGAGGGGGAATATCCATAATGTAATGTGCATTTTGCCGGCGCCGCGGCTCACTAGGCTAATCCTCCACCTAAGGCGCCGGCACACCAGGTTCTAGTCCCGGTAGGGGCGCCGGATTCTGTCCCGGTTGCCCCTCTTCCAGGCCAGCTCTCTGCTGTGGCCAGGGAGTGCAGTGGAGGATGGCCCAGGTGCTTGGGCCCTGCACCCCATGGGAGACCAGGAAAAGCACCTGGCTCCTGGCTCCTGCCATCGGATCAGCGCAGTGCGCTGGCCGCGGCGGCCATTGGGGGGTGAACCAACGGCAAAGGAAGACCTTTCTCTCTGTCTCTCTCTCACTGTCCACTCTGCCTGTCAAAACAAAACAAAACAAAACAAAACAAAAAACATAATGTAATGTGCATTTTAAAACCAACCCATCTTGGTCAGGTGCTGTAGTGCAGGTTAAGCCACCACTGAGAATGCCCATGTCTCATATTCTAGCCACTCAGCTTCTGATCCAGCTCCCTGCTAATGCACTTGGGAAGGCTCAGCTCCCTGCTAATGCACTTGGGAAGGCTGCATATGACAGCCTAAGTATTCAGATATGCCACCAACATGGAAGGTCTGTACAGAGTTCCTGATTCTGGCCTGACCCAGCCCTGGCTGCTGCACGCATTTTGGGAGTGAACCCAGTGGACTGAAGATCTGTTTCAGATAAATAAAAAAAGTTATAGCAGCGGCTGTAGTCGTGGCTCAGCAAATGCTGCTGGTTCAAATCCTGACTGGGCCATTTCTGATCCAGCTCCCTGCTAATGTGCCAGGAAGACAATGTTAAATGGCCCAAGTACCTGGGCCCCGGCTTTGGTCCGGCCCAACCCTGGAACAATGAATAAGCAGATGGGAAGATGTCTCTCTCTCCCTCTTTATCCACTTATGTGTCTTTCAAATAAATAAATAATCTTAAAAACTGCAAGTGGAGAATTAAAGCTATGCAGATACAGGGATGTAAAACCCAACTACCTAAGAATTAAAAAAATAAACCCCTCAAAACTGCAAAAGGACAACTAAAGCTCCATAAGCATATGGGGCGCACACACACAGAAACGAGAGTATTTCAGGAAGGTCACAGAAGATGTGCATTCTGAAACACTACGTATGGATTCCACATATTTTTGTACCAAAACAAACTTGTAATTCCACTTTCCCCTACAAACTTCTTGAAGTACCCTCCTATATATAAGAAAGATAAACTGGGGCTGGCAGTGCAGCAGGTAAAGCTCCTGCCTGTGACAACATTCCATATGGGTGCTGGGTCATGTCCGGGCTGCTCCACTTCTGAGCCATTTCCCTGGTGATGTGCCTGGGAAAATGGGCAGAAGAGTCCAGTTGGTTGGGTCACTGGGAGACTGGGATGGCGCTCTTGGCTTCGGCCTGGCCCAGCCCCAGTCGTTGCTGCCTTCTGGGGAGCGAACCAGAGGATGGAAGACTGGAATATCTCTAAATATTTCTGCAGCTTGATTTAAAACATTTGACTTTGTTGGATGCCTTTTCCAGGCAGGCTTTACTACTGTCATTAAACAAGATACGTTAAGTGCTGGGCCTACTCAAACAGTTTTCTGCCTCTGTACAGTATAAAGGAGGTAAGAATGATGATAGGAGGAAAAAGAGAAACTGAAATAGACATGGGTTTATAGGAAACCCTAAATGAAAATCTAAACAGTACTGTGCATGAAGTGAGCAGGCAACAAGAGGAGCTCAGAAACTCAGAAATGTTAAAGGAACACATTATGATTAAAGACATACCCCCCCCAGCATCTTTATTACTCTGACTTTCATAAGGATGAATTCAAGTGCTCCTTTCTTGTTTAAAATGCTGGTTCAAGTCACCAGTTTTCCATGTATGAGGTAAATTTTCTAGCCAAAAAAAATTTCTCATTATTTAAAAGAAATCCACTCAGCTTCCCACTTAAATTTTATTATGTGTTATCTTAGAACACTAACTAAATTATTTTAAAATAAAGTTCAGTAACTTCCAAGGTAGTCAATGTGTGATCCTGTACAAGAGGAGGAAATACTTAAATGCCAATAAATTCTAGACACTAAAGCCTGCCCCAAAGCAATTTCAGTTATTGGGAACATCAGCTTGTCTGCCCTCTGCCTCTATATTCATCCTCAAAGCTTCATAGATAGCTTTTTCCCCCCCAGCCAATAAGCGAAGGACAAGGGTAAAGCTAATTTAATTATTTATGCTTTGTGTTTACTGGTTATGGATCAGGGTCAGCTTAATCCTGAGAAACAAGATGCCGCCTGCTTTTATTACTGATGCCTTTTAACCTGTATATGGGAACTATTACATCTACAGTCTACATTTTGTGTATAAATGTATTCCAAGGTACACGACAATGTGCAATCTAATGATGGCACAAGTTATAAGTCAACTCGGCCTTTTTAAGTGTGAAACTCAAGGGCATCAAAATACTTAAGTGTTAACATGCAGGGTGGGACTGTGGCGTAGCAGGTAAAGCAGCAGTCTGCAATGCTGGCATCCCATTAAGGGCACTGGTTCATGTCGGGCCTGCTCTACTTCCTATCCTAGTCCCCTGCTAACGTGCCTGGGAAAGCAGCAGGGGATAGCCAAAATGCTTGGCTGCACCTACATGGGAGACTGGAAAGAAGCACCTGGCTTTGGCCTGGCCAGCCCCAGCCGTTGCAGCCATTTGGGGAGTGAACCAGTGGATGGAAGACCTCTTTCTCCGTCTCTCCCTGTAACTCTGCCTTTCAAATAAATAAAAAAATAAATCTTTAAAAAAAGTTTAACACTCATCTTCAATCTTCATATGCTTATCATTAACAATTAACACACCGTGCTAGAATTAAATTCCATGGGAACCAAAACTCTGAATTTTGTATGACTTTAATGTGAATATTGCAATGCTCTCTTTTCTCAAACTTCACATTTTGTATAGCTCAATAGGAAACCCAAGAATGCAAACCTTGGATTTAAGACTGCTAGAGAGAAAATACTGCTCAGAAGAGAGAGAAGATCTACTCCTTGGATATACTTGATTTTGTTCATTTTGCGTCAAGACAGTTCAAGGAGTTAAGGTTTCGTATTTTACAGAAAGAAGTACAAACAACACAGAGTGACGAAAGTAATTTGGAAGATCCAGTGACTTTTGTTCTTCTCTAGGTACACAAAGTACCTGTTCTTCAGGCTGGGCATTCTTAACAGAAATCTAGAATTCAGTAGACTAAGGAATATGCGGACCAACAGTGCCTTTACTGCTTGTCTACACACGTTGCATTTTTTTCATCTTTGCTTCAAGACAAAAACACTCAACAAAATTCATATGGTGCTGTCCTAAGATTGGGTGTCTTTTTAAAGAATTCAGGCACTATTAAGACAAGTCAGCGAACACCTCGATGAACCAATTTCGTTTTTCTCCCACACTGGGACAGTTGGGAAATGAGGACGTCAATTGCTCAACCACAGAACTGCAAAGTTACAACTCTGGGGGAAAACACACGAGTTAGATGCTTACACACTGTAGGTTTTCGTTAACTTACCAATGTAGTTTTATTGGAGGCCATTTTTTATTGCAGACTTGAAGAGCTATTACTAGAAAAATGCATGACAGTTAAAGTTTGCACGACGAAGGACACCTAAACACAACTTGGGCTTGGATTTCAACCCCCACGGAGTGGTACCCATTTCGGAGCAGCGGATCCGAGCGCCTGCCTCGCCCATTAGTGACGCATGCTTGAGTCTAGCAGTATTCCACCCGGCGGAGGCCAGGGAGACCTCGCCGAGCCACACCGGCACCCGCTCCCCGCTGCAAGTCCCACTCGTCCCTCCACGTTCGGCTTTTTAAAGGACAAACCGCTCGGCTCACGCCCGGGTACAATGACACAAACACCTAACACGAAGCGACCACGAAATTCTCCCGCAGCCCAGCTCAGGGACCCTCCCCCTTCCCCCAGACGCTCCACAAGCGAGAGGAAAGCCCCCGGCGGCCGCGGCCCCGCGCCGTGACGCTTCGAGGGCGAAACCACGCCGCAGGCCCCCGCCCCCACCCGGGAGCGCGGGCCTCGTGGTCAGCGCATCCGCGGGGAGAAACAAAGGCCGCGGCGCGGGGGGCTCCAGGGCACTGCACCTCAGGCCCACGCCGGGCCCGCGAGCGGCGGCCGCGTAACGGGGCGCCCGCAGCAGCCCGCGGGCCGCGCGCACCGCCAGGCCTCGCGGATGCGAGGGAATGCACCGCCCTCCCCGGAGGCCCCGCTCTCCCAGCCCGCCGGGTGGGGGAGGGGACAGGCACGCTTTGTCTGCAGACCAGGCGCCCGTCGCCCCCACGCGCCACCCTCGCCGGGTCCTGCGCTGCCCCTACTGCCTAAAGGCGCGGGCCCACGGCCGGGCCCGCCGCGGGGCCTCCGCTCGCCTCGCACTGCTCCCGGCAGCTGCGGACGCGGGGTCCGGCGGGCAGGGAGCCGGGGAACTACGGGGTCCCCGGGGTGCAGGGGGCACTCTAAAGCACCGCCACCCAGTGAGCGTGAAAGAGAAAGAAAGCCACCGACTTCACCGCTCCGAGCTGCTCCGGGTCGCGGGGCTGCAGCGTCTCCGGCCCTGCGCGCCTCAAGCTCCAGCCACATCCGAGGGGGAGGGGGCTGGGGAGCGGCGCGCGGGGCCGCGGAGGGGGGCTGGCCCCGCCCACGCCGGGCGGCCGAGAGGGCGGAGCTGCGGCCGCGCGCGCCGGCAGAGGGGCCGCCGGGAGCGCGGGGCAGCGGCGCTCACCGTTCGTGCCGTGGCGCTTCTCGGTCCCTGCGGGGAGGAGGGGCTAGGACGGATCACTGGACTGGGCTCGACGGAAGCGTTTCTGCCTCGCGGCTGCAGCGACTGGCGCCAAAACGAGGCTCCGCCCACTTCCGTGCCCCTAGGGGTGGGTGCCTCCGAGCTGGGCGGAGGGGGCGCCGGAGAGCCGAGGACCCCCTTCAGGAAAGCTCGCTGCTGAGGTCCGGGCGTGATGTGGGCCAGGACTGGGCGGGTACAGCGTTCACAGTAATTTGCCGAGTTGAAGTCCCGGCAGGTGTTTCCGGAAGAGGCTGAGCCAGTCCTCCGAGCCGGGAAAGGGGCTGGGGGACACGAAGGGTCCAAGGCGGCCGCAGGGGGATGGCATCGTCGGAAGCGTAGCCGCAGGGAGCGCCGCCGCGGGGTAGGCTCCGCCCGGCAGCCTTCATTTCAAACTGCGTGACCGTTTCTCACCTGCCCTGCGCTAACGCGAGGGCTGGCCCCGATCCGGAGAGGGCGTAACGCGCAGGCCTGCAGCCTCCCGCCATTCCCGGAGCCCGTCTACGCCGCTGGCGTCGGGCACGGCCGCAGGCGGCAAGGGCGGGGACTGCGCACTTGGCGTGAGAGGGGCGGAGAGCCTTCCCGCCATTGGCGCCAGTTAGGGCGTTTACGCAGCGGCCTGACGTAGAGGAAGACGCGTTGGTCGGGGGAAGGTTCTAGAAAAGCGGCGGCAGCGGCTCCAGCAGCAGCAGCAGTGGCAGCAGCGGCAGCAGCGCCGGGCCCCGGGCGGAGGTGCTCGCAGGCGGTGTTGTTTCTCGAGCTGCGGCAGTGCTCAGCCCGGCGCCAGGACGAGTCCGGCTCGCGTTCGTCCGCGGAGATCTCTCTCATCTCGCTCGGCTGCGGGAAATCGGGCTGAGGCGACTGAGTCCGCGATGGAGGTAACGGGTTTGAAATCAATGAGTTCTTGGCAAGGGCATGGCCAGGCGATCGGCTCCTTCGGCGGCGGTCGGCCCGCTGCGTGCGCGGGAGAGCGGCGGGCCCGGGGCCGCTGCGGGCGGCGGCGGCGGCGTGGGGGTACGGGTGGTCGGGAGCGGGGTGCACGGCGGTCGGGTGCGCGAGCGCCTCCTCCGCGCCAGCCTCCCGGCGCCATTTCCCTGGGCCGCGGGTGGGGGATGGGCGCGCCCGCGGGCGGACGCCGCCCCGCTTCGGCGAAGGTGGGCGCCGGGGCGGGCATTGGCGCCCACCTCGGGGAGCACGCGGATGGGGTTGGGGGGCGGCGGCCACGCGTCGTCGCGTTTCGGCGGGCCCTCGTGATCGCGGTTGCGGAGCCTCCCCTCCCCCTCTCCCGGGAACCGGATTTGGCGGCCGCCATTTTCGTGGTTCTCTTTCCTCGCGGCGTTGTTTTTCTTTTAAAACACCCCCGGTCCGCGCGGCGCGGGGCCCCCCTGGAAAGCGCATCCGGGCTTGAACCCCTGGGCTCTGCCTTCGCGCCGGGTGGCCGTCGTCTCGAAGTGGGTGGCGAGTGTCTTGTGAGCTTGGCTCTTGCAGGTCCTGCGCACTTGATTACAGGCTCCGTGCCTTGCCCTCGCTGAAATGGCGCCACGGCGTCCCGGAGCCGCGGAGCAGGGGGGTGGCTCTGCGGGGCCGGCGGGCGCCGGTCCGGGGAGGCGCAGGCCCCCAGCCCTGGGCCGGTTTTCACACGAGCCGGCTCGCCTCTTAAGAAGCTGTGGCGCCTTCCAGCCTCGTTTCTTGGAATTACGGCCTCCTCGGGGTCTGCAGGGATGGAGAAGGCCGTGGAATTGCAGGGAACTAGGAGGAGAGCAAACGGGAGCCGTGTACGAGCGTGGCAGCGCGGACGGTGGCGGCTGCGGGAGGGGCAGAGGAAGGAGTGTCGAGCAGGGTGGTTGGAAAGGCAGAACTCGGCCGTGTTTTCAATGCTTTTCCTGGGAAGTGTAACCTCTCCCGGGCTAGACCACGCTTCGTCCCTTACCAGGGGCGAAGGCAGAAGCTGGGAGGCCGGTGAACTGGAAAGGACTTCATGCGTAGCTGTGCTTTGGTTAAAAACATGACTCAGTCCCCCAGCGCGTGCTCTACGATATTCACCGCCTGGGCCGCGGGGTATTTGAACTTTGTCACTTGCCTTTCTCATTTATGTTTGCAATCGTGGTTGATGATTACATTGATAAGCGTAAGGGCTCGAGCGAAGGGGTTCTACCTGGTTTTTTGTTTGGCCCTAAGCACGTTTGTACAATAACTTTGTTTATAATCGATAGTGCACATCAGGTAAGTTGGAAAAAACTATGAGGTAAGTAATGAGTTTTTGCTTTTTTATAGAGATTGGTAAGGATTGTTGTAGATAGATATATATCTCATAGAGAAGCCTTTTTTGCTGGATATTTAGAGTAAAATTAGCTGGAAAATGCAACTGCCGATCTTGCTAGATACTTATCTGCATGGCTCCTAGGAGTAGTTTGATAATTTCAAGAGTTTTCCCCTCCCAGTTTGGGCAGAATCCAGGGAGCTCTTAACTGTGTAGGGAGAAAAATCTGAGTTGGCTTTCACGTCTGTTCTCTTTGAGTGCGTTGACAGCCTCAAAACTGGGATTGAGATCGTAATGCAGCTTACTAAGAACAAGGCTTTTTTTTTTTTTTACTTGTAAAAAAACAGGTTTAATGAACCACTCTGATAACTGCTAAGATAAAGAGCTGCTTAATACAACACATTTCTTTACTAGTTTGCAGATGGTAGGAGTACAGCTCAGATTTTTTTCTTTCTGCCCTGTAAAATTTGTGATTTAATGTGTTTTACTTATCGAATAGGCCACCAAGTTCAATAAGCTGAGCTTTTGCCATCTTTAATGGATTGTGGGGGAATAAAGGCTAGTGTTAGAGTATGTATATAACTAAAATGTGGAACTATTTCAGTTGAATGCTTTTTATGTATAGATGATGGTTAGCTGAGAATTTCAGATATGAAATAGTGCTGCCAACCAAAAATTGTTTTTAAACTTGTAAGGTTTACATGCTGCTCAAAAATAAAATTTGCCATGTTACAGCACAGATTAGAGTTCCTTTTATGCATATTTTGAATGTATAAGTTTTTTCTAAATTGAGAATTGTAATGTTTGGAAATTTGAATCATCTTGTAGTGTTTTTGGTGGAGATACTTAGAATCACCATGGTGGGGGTGAGGGGCAGCTTATGGAAATTGGGTCTTAAGTAAAGAACCAGAAGTTTTATGTTATATAAACTGAGTAAATAACTTGTAGGTTTAAGTTACGTAATTTGTGGAAATTTGATAAGAAACCTTTAGTAATCATTCAGGGACCACAGAAAAGATTGTTCCTTTCTCAATGTTTTTAAAAAGTAATACTGTTTGTTTTTAAGTTAATTTAATGTGTGCATTTAGATTAAGCGTTAATGATTTTGAAGCAAATAGTTTAATAGCAGTTAGGCAGTTTTTTGGTATAACACAACTAATATGCAGTTTAACATATGGTTTAAATTTGATGTAAGTTTTTTTTTTCCCCCCCAGAAAACTTTAGAAACTGTTCCTTTGGAGAGGAAAAAGGTACTCTGCCAGCAGGTCACCTCATATTTAAGAATTTAATTTCCTGCATACAAAGAGGAAAATGTAAATAAAAGTTGAAATGATGTTTTCCTTTACAGAGAGAAAAGGAACAGTTCCGTAAACTCTTTATTGGGGGCTTAAGCTTTGAAACCACAGAAGAAAGTTTGAGGAACTACTACGAACAATGGGGAAAACTTACAGATTGTGTGGTACGTTAGCTGGATGTCTGACTTCAGACGCCCAGTATTCTGTTCAAAATGTTAAGTGAATCACGCAGACTATAGTTTGTCAGTGTTGTGAAGCTTAAAAATATTACAATATGGTATTTAATAAAAAATGATGTTTAATGCAAATATTTCCCCTTTGGTTTTCAAGGTGATGAGGGATCCTGCAAGCAAAAGATCAAGAGGATTTGGTTTTGTTACTTTCTCATCCATGGCTGAGGTTGATGCTGCCATGGCTGCAAGACCTCACTCAATTGATGGGAGAGTGGTTGAGCCAAAGCGTGCTGTAGCAAGAGAAGTAAGCAAAACATGACCCTTTATTGTGCAATTAAAAAAAAAAAACTATCCTGTTAAAGTTTAGAAAGTGATTTATGAAAGAGTTAAAGTCAAGCTCAAAAAGTTTTTTTGTTGATGGTAGGAGTATTTTGTTTTTTGAGATTTACTTTATTTATTTGAAAGAGTTAGAGAGGTAGAGACAGAGTTCTTCCATCCCCTGGTTCACTCCCCAGATGGCTGCAACGACCAGAGTTGCACCGATCAGGAGCCAGGAGCTTCCTCTAGGTCTCCCATGCTGGTGCAGGGGCCCAGGGGCTCAGGCAGTCATCTTCTACAGCTTTCCCAGGCCGTAGCAGAGAGCTGGATCAGAAGAGGAGCAGCCAGGACTAGAACCAGCACCCATATGGGATGTTGGTGCCCCAGGCTAGGGCTTTAACCCACTGTGCCACAGCACCAGCCCCTTGGTAGGGGTTTTTTGTTAGGAACCAAAAACAGTCTAGATCTCCCAGGTGGGAACAAACTACTTGAACAATCATGGAAGCCTCCCAAGGTCTGCCTTAGGAAGCTGGAATTTGGACCTTGGATCCTCTGATGTGTGGAACATGAGAATCTCACCCTGCTAAGTTGAGGTTGATCTTTGAAAAGATGAAGCTCTTGATTAACCTGGCGCTTTATCATGGGATGAACGTAAGCAGGTATAGTGTGAAGTCCGCCTTCAGTCTTGTATGGTTTTTCCCCCATTGTAGGAATCTGGAAAACCTGGGGCTCATGTAACTGTGAAGAAGCTGTTTGTTGGTGGAATTAAAGAAGATACTGAGGAACATCACCTTAGAGATTACTTTGAAGAATATGGAAAAATTGATACCATTGAAATAATTACTGATAGGCAGTCTGGGAAGAAAAGAGGCTTTGGCTTTGTTACTTTTGATGACCATGATCCTGTGGATAAAATTGTATGTAAGTGTCTAAGCAGTAGGTGTGTGGTTCTTGGAGTAAACAGTCATTAAAGGTAAATTTCTAATTGATTAATATTGAAAGGTATTGATTTAATAGTTTGGGTTTTTTTTTTTTTTTTATTACAGTGCAAAAGTACCACACCATCAATGGTCATAATGCAGAAGTAAGAAAGGCTTTGTCTAGACAAGAAATGCAAGAAGTCCAGAGTTCTAGGAGTGGAAGAGGAGGTAATCATAATTCCCTTTTCTCATTTCTTTTTATTTATCTAAGTGCTCTTTAATAACAAGGCCATTTATTATAGGTAACTTTGGTTTTGGAGATTCACGTGGTGGTGGTGGGAATTTTGGACCAGGGCCAGGAAGTAATTTTAGAGGATCTGGTAAGTGTTGAAATAAGTTTAATTTTAAAATACTATGATTGGCTTCTTATTGGAAGGAGGGCATAAAACCTAGATTAATGTTTTGGAACCTTGTTTGTAGAAATAAAAGAAATATCAATGGCATAAGTGAGTTCTGATGTGGCTGGCAAGCCATATTAGCGGCTTACAGCATAATCTGCTGTAATATAGCATAACCATAGTGCCTTATAAAAAGCAAAATGTCATTGCCGAAGCTTAAAAATAGTGTGTTTCTTAAGTTCAGGCTTGCTGAGCACTATCCCAAAAGTTAAACAGTTATCTGAGAAGCATAAATTATCTCCTTGTTGTAAGGTTTTTGATTGAATCCTGAGGCATTAGTGAGGATGTGGGGGAAATGGGTCTTAATATTGAATAAGAACTGAGATGTAATACCCATGAACTCTTGTGTCCCCTAACAGATGGATATGGAAGTGGACGTGGATTTGGAGATGGCTATAATGGGTATGGAGGAGGACCTGGAGGTGAGATTTTTTTTCTCATTTATGTTACTAAGTTCGAATGACACTATATATGTTCCTGATATGTATATATTGCAATTTTTGATTTTTTTTTTTTTTGTTTCTACTTAATAGGTCATAGTGGTACAGTGGGTTTGGCTTTTCTCTTATTACTAGGTTTGCATCTCAGCTATTAGTAGTATAACAGAAACATATAGGGGTTAATATAGTGTGAAAACATGGGTGGATTTTACAAAAGAATCTGAAGATGCTATCATTGTATCTCAAGCAAAAAGGGGAGCCTAAATGTGATCTGATAGTTACTGTGTTTTTCTGATGGGGAGACCATTGAACCTGACTAAATACAAGGGGAGTGTATGAAGGTTCATGGGAAATGTCATTAAAACTAGTTAGTGTACTTTGGGGTAAAAATGTTGAAATCCATGCAGTTTTTGTGTAATCCACACTGAAGGAATCACCTATGTAAGAGCGGTTGTTTAGTCTTCCAAGTAGAAAATAGGTCCCCTATGATAACTCCCAAGAGTCACTTAGGGAATTTGTCCAAAGTATACAAGTGTGTTCCTGGGTACAGATAAGGTTGACACATGTTGAGTGTTAGATTTCACTTGTTGCTTTGAGTACAGAAAGAGGTTGGTGTTTAAAACTGAGCTCTAGTAGTAGACCTTATTCCTGCGTTTAGAAGTGCTAAGTTTGTATTTAATGCCAGTAATTGGAGACTTCTTGGACCAGTTTCAAGGAGTTCAGAATAACATGAGTGTTTCATTCCTGATCGTCTCCCATTTCTAGTGAAGGTGGTGAGCATATTAAGAATGTGATATAGCATTTCATAATTCAAAGATGGAGTTCTCAGTTCCTGTTTCCTTGAGAACTTAATCTTTTGGGCCAGTAGAAGGATATGGCTCTTTCCATCAATCAGAATATCATGACTAACCTGGCCCCACAACTCTTGTCCAAAATGCACAACCAGTATTTTACCATACCTTCCAGAGGAGGGATCATTATTAGCTTTCGTTTTTATAAATAGCTTCATTCTGTTGGCTATGGTAAGTACCTTAATGCTTCTTGCAAATTGTTTTCCACTTGAAGCTGTTCTAGAGGAGATACCACAGAACTAATTTTTTACTTCAAAGTATGTGTATTGGAAAGCTGGAAATGGGTATGATAAGACCGTTCAAATGGCATTGAAAATACTAAGTAATGACTTAAAGGCTTATTTTATAATAGGTGGCAATTTTGGAGGTAGCCCTGGTTATGGAGGAGGAAGAGGAGGATATGGTGGTGGAGGACCTGGATATGGCAACCAGGGTGGGGGCTACGGAGGTGGTTATGACAACTATGGAGGAGGTAATAAATTCACCTGCAACCTTTATATGGGAATTTGGATCGGAATGAATGCCCTTTAATATTTCAATGTTGTCAATAGATACCTTTAAAAATTGTAGTTTTAGATAGGTGATTTGTATTCTAATTTGTTTCTGTGAGGGCTTTGTCCTAGATATCAAGTATGTGTCAACGGTTTAATGTTCTGCAGCCCACTATGTTAGTATTCCAGTTTGTTAGTATTCAATTTTGTTAACAGGAAATTACGGAAGTGGAAATTATAATGATTTTGGAAATTACAACCAGCAACCCTCTAACTACGGTCCAATGAAGAGTGGAAACTTTGGTGGTAGCAGAAACATGGGGGGACCATATGGTGGAGGTAATTTATAACTAAAAATTGAGATTGTTTATAGATTCTTTAGTGATATAGTCTTTGATAACAGTAGTGAAGATAACATTAATTATGTTTACATTTGAGTAATGTTTCCATATGCAAGGTTACTGAGAAATTGTGCAGAAATTGTCACAATTACTTCAGAAAATCATAACATCAGCATTGGTGATTCAGGCAATGGAGGTAGAATTCTAGTTCAGTACTGTAAAGAATGATATTTGGGTTGGGGATGCTGTTTTCTTTGCTTAATTATTTAAGATAGATACTGAGTACATGGCAAATGACACAGGTTTGTAAGAGCCCCTTTGAAAATTAAATTCTAAACCTGTATTCGAACCAGTGTTCCTCTCATTGAGGAAGTTTTTAGTGGGGCTACAGAGATTTCCTGTCTCCTGTGAGTAGTAAACAATCTAGATGGTGTCAGAAGACCCTTTAAAAGATAAAGTTAACTAACCACAGCCTTACGGTAGCTAATCATGGGAAATCAAAGTAAGTTTGCTTTCTCTTGCTGTTTGTTAGGAAACTATGGTCCAGGAGGCAGTGGAGGAAGTGGGGGTTATGGTGGGAGGAGCCGATATTGAGCTTCTTCTCTTTGCCTTGGGTAAGTAGCTTTTGAGTTTTACAATTATTATTATCTTGGGAGACCTAGCTGCAGGAGTAAAAGCTTTTTAGGATCATGTTATCTTTCCTTAAAATCTGGGTAGATGGATAATTTCATAACCTATTTTTTTTTTACTCTTTACTTCTGTTGAAACAGGCTTCACTGTATAAATAGGAGAGGATGAGAGCCCAGAGGTAACAGAACAGCTTCAGGTTATCGAAATAACAAATGTTAAGGAAACTCTTATCTCAGTCATGCATAAATATGCAGTGATATGGCAGAAGACACCAGAGCAGATGCAGAGAGCCATTTTGTGAATGGATTGGATTATTTAATAACATTACCTTACTGTGGAGGAAGGATTGTAAAAAAAAAAATGCCTTTGAGACAGTTTCTTAGCTTTTTAATTGTTGTTTCTTTCTAGTGGTCTTTGTAAGAGTGTAGAAGCATTCCTTTGATAATGTTAAATTTGTAAGTTTCAGGTGACATGTGAAACCTTTTTTAAGATTTTTCTCAAAGTTTTGAAAAGCTATTAGCCAGGATCATGGTGTAATAAGACATAACGTTTTTCCTTTAAAAAAATTTAAGTGCGTGTGTAGAGTTAAGAAGCTGTTGTACATTTATGATTTAATAAAATAAATTCTAAAGGAAATTGTGTAATTATAGACTTTTTATTTTAAATAAGTTAAGGAGGGGGTAGTATAAATAAGGTCCATTGCAAAGCTGTTGTTATATTTGTGTAAGATAAATGCTGGTCAGATGTAAGTGTGTTGTCTGCGATTCATCAGGATTAAATTATCTAGATGACTTAAGGGATATCTCTGCAAGGAGAAACACCTTTTTAGATCTTTTAGATGCTGCTTCTTCAATGCAAGGAAAGGAAATAACCCCAGCGAGGTACTCTTCAGGGACACAGGTCTAGTACAAGAGAACTCTTGACGGCTACTAAGTTCAGCCAGTCTTAAAAAACTGTGCTGTTTCTACAAAGCTTTAACTACAGTAGTTTATAAGGATGCCAACGAAAGCTGAGGGTGTAGAGCAAAATAGTTCTAAGCTTCAGTTAAACTTCTTTAGGTAAGATCTTATTTACTTTTCCTTTCTTAATTTTCCTCCCTAAAAGATAAACTAATACTCTTCAATGGTCTTTCAGTATAGTGGTTCTTATGTAGTGTAACATAGCTATAAATTGAGTTTAACAATTTATAAACTCAACTTGAGAGAATAATTTTTATGAACCCTGTTTTCCAATCTGTCATTTACTTAAATTATTTTGGTTGTTTTCCCTTTTTTTTCCTTCTTTCCCATCCCCTCTCCCTCCATGAAGATTCAGGTGCTTAACATATCATTTTTTTCCCTGCTGGAATTTTAGCATTGATATGAACCATGGACAAGTATATTCTGCTGCCACAAAGACTGTAAAGTGCTTCATTTCAACAGCTGAGGCAAGCCAAGTGATCATTAATAAAGCTTTTCTTGGTTCCTTCAGTGGTGTTGGTAGTAAAATGGTAGGTAAAAGTTAGGCTGCAAGTTCAATAAATCATGAAATTTCCCATCATTACACCCTCTGTATTCACATTTCTTGGATCGAGCGTTTAAAAGAACTAGGGTTTTTAAAATTTATTGTTAAAATAAAGGATTTTTTTTTCTGTAACTTTATGGTTCTAGCTTTATTACATGCTTGTCAGGATAAGGCTGAAAGAGAAGGTAGGGTAAATGATTGAATCTGTTTTCAGATAATAGTTTTATGCATATGTGTAAAGTGACTGCATAGTGGTAAATTCTGTCCAGTACAAGGTAATTGGGTTAAAATGTAATTGTTTCCCAATGACCTACCCTACAGAAAGATGTAGGTTGGCTGCTAAAATTCAAGCCTTAAATTATTCATCAGTTTGATTGCCTGGCTTTATTGCCTTTTCAGGATTGTGATAGTCACAGCCTATTCTATATGCACCAGTGAGGCTTCTTTGATCTAAGACCACCACTGAAGTTATTTAGGTTCTTTGGACAAACATGATAAACTTCTTCAGATACTTTTTTTTTCCTTTGGCAGGAAGGTGTCTTGCTGCAGGTAACTAATGAAGAAGTGGTCAACCACAGAGTCTTCAAGAAATAAGAAATTCTGTACCATCTGAAAGTAGTTCTTGTTGGTGCCTTCATTTAAGAAGCACTCTTAAGATAAAAGGGAAATGTTTTCTGATAAAAACAAAATCTTCATTTAGTACAGGTTCTTCATTTTAAAAATTAAAAATGAATGTTGTTTGTAAAACTAACATTCTCAAATTAGCCAGAGATAAATGTGTCATGTTTTTAATTAGGTTTTGTGAGTAGAGAGATTAAAGTTCTATTTTAAATACAAAGTTTATAAAATAAATACTTTTGTACCCAAACACGTGGTGTAATGTTTACACATAAAATGTGTGAATCTTGTTATATAAACGTTTAGTTGTCTAAAAGATTACCATCCCCTAAATTTTTAAAGCAGTTAAACAAAGGTATGCATATTTCCATTTTATTTTTCAATATTAGACACATTTCAGAAAAGCATTGTGGGCATTATTGGCTGTCCCTAATAAAATGCTGTTTACCCACTGTACTCAGCGTTTGAATATGGCTACAGTTTTCTGGCTTTTAATTGATGGTAGTGGTTTTGAAACCTTGGGTTTCATCCAGCTAGAGTGGTCATATGACTGATGGCAAAAATTGAGATGTAAACTCTGTCATACTAGTCTGTCAAATGTCAGTTCTGTTGCATTTTTACTTAGTGACCATGATTATAATTAAAATGTTGAGTTTACAAAATAGAATAATTGGACATTTATCCAGCAATGGCCAAGTCTGTATTTTGAATGAGTTTATGTCACAGGTAAGTTGAACTGATGATGGCTAGCAAGTATTAATGAGTGGTCTTATACCTGAAATAGTAGCTATACTCAACCATGGGGTATTTGAGTATAAACTTGGCTTCAAATGCATTAGAAAATTGACTTTGGAATTGTAAAAAATGTTGGACTCGACAGAGATAAAGTACTTTGAAGAAGTTAACAAAATCAGAATATGCAAACTAAAAATATTTAGTCAGGGGAAATAGTCAAACAGGGGAGAAGGTGATGCATGATATGTTGACGTGAACCAGTTTACAAAGATAGTTTCCTAAAAGGTAATGTTGAATATTTGATCTGTTTTTCCTTTATGCATATTGTGTATGGAGCAGTTTCATTTGAAGGTTAAATTAAGGTAGTCTTATTGCTACATAACATTATGTTGACACTTAGAGCAACTGATCTCATCTGTGATTAGCTGTATGATTTTTGGCTCACAAACCTGACAAGTTAGAAGATTCACATGCAGAATGGCCTACCAACAGGGGCTGAAATCTTGATACGCTATTAACCGTCCTCCAGACTGGTGGTCCTAAAGAACAAAGGAAAGAAGTTGCCAAATAATTCACCCTAGAAGTCATATGTTCTTAACATGCTGTTGACATGGCAACAGGGGGTGGTGGTGAGTGGTTGTTTGCAGTGCCATGGATGTATAAGAGGTTAAGGGTCCTTGGGAACCACATTTAAAGCTGGCTAACAGAAGTGCTTCTGATGCAGTGAAACATGTACACAAGGCATTTTCAGCAGCTCAGTTTGGCACATCTACACAAAGCAATTTTATCTGAGCATGAAAGTATATTTCAAATACTGGGAGCTTAACGTAGGGGAAGTTGTGAAGGAATCAATTCTAGGGTCACTGCTGATGGTTCTCAAGGAAGTTTGGCTCTTGAAGGGAGAAAATACAACTGGTCAGCCTGAGCTTGGCATTTATCAAAAATGCAGGCATGTTCACATGGTTAATATGCCCCTTAAAAATCTGTCAAGTTCTTGAGGTAAGTGAATTACCAAAACAAGTATAATGTGTTGAAGATGGTGTGTTTGTGTAAATTTAGCTACTTTGATGTCTTTAAAAACATTTAATGTGCTTAAGTAGCTACAGTAGGCTGATAGTGCTGAGCTGAAGCCAACCTTGAAGGGACCTCAATAGCAGAATGGCATTAAACATACAGCTTGGATAAAATGTATTCTCACTATTATTCAACTTGGCCTGGTTAACTCAGAAGCTATAACAGGAAGAGACATGGATGGCCAGCATTGTAAGAGGACTGTACTATGAATTTCTAGCTACAGAAGTGAGAGGTTGAGGCTCTGCTGAGAATTTAGGAGGGGTAAACTTTGTATTAGGAAACTTCAGAGCACAGCACCAAAACATGTTTGACTCCAGCCACAATGTACCTTCACGTTCATAGTAATTGAAGGGGTGGGGCTAGAATGCCACCAACAGGCAGTGCCATTTGAAGAGGGTTTTTAAAAGAAGGAAGGAAGATGCATTATTCAGTCATTTGGTGACAAAAGTTCAGGACTAAACTGCCAACTGATCTGATCTCAAGTACCTTACACTGGGAGGCAGTGGTTCCTATGGCAGAAATAACATCAGACACTTGGTGTGGGAGGCCAGCATGGTTACACTGTAGTATTGATATTCCCTATGGGGTGAGCCATAGCCATGTTTAGGAATTTGCAAGTGTTAGTCTTTCAGTAGCCTCAGCATTTCCAGTTCTTTGGTCCTAAAATGGCTGCCCTGCTGTTTTTCTGTGTGGTTTACCATGTTAAAGCATCTCGGTTGCAGGATGTTACGAGGCACACAACTACAGGCTCACTTCGCCAATGCCAGGAACCCCAGGCTAGGAGGAGCCTCTGGGTATTTTTCCAAGCTTATTAAACCAACGCACTTCAAAGCTCTCCTTCCTTTGGTAGTCTCTGTTGGGTTTGGGTGGATTTATATCAGCATACTGTAATTGCAATTAGAGTTCAGTTTGCATAAAAATTTGAAGTTAGGTTTTCATGAATGTGCATATTATGGCTGACAGAAATAGGGAAACAACTGAAAATTCCAACAAATAAGAATTTATTTTCACAGAAAAGTCATAAAAATCAGCTTTTGAGGAGCTCACTATAATGCTAACACTTAAAAAAAGTTAAGCCTGCTTTGCATTTTAGAAAGGTCATCTTCCAAAAGCTGCCAAAGTGAGTAGTGTCTTAATGCTTCTTGCATACAGCTGGAATCAGGTATATGCAGCAGGAGGACTTGAGTTGTACCTTCCCCTGAATTCCTGCAAGTCTGATGGGCAGTTCTATCAGGTTCAAGTTGAGTGACCAACTCACACACTTGAATAAAGTCCCAAGTTTACAAGCAAGAACCAAACCTTTTTGGGTTGTGACCAAAGTAATCAGTTTTTGAAAATTACTGTGTGTGCATTCACATAATAAGGGGAGACCATCTTTGATTTCTTTCACTTTTTTCTTTTTCCCTTTTGGTTTTCCTTTTTGTGGCCTGAGGCTGCCAGTTCTTTGGGTACAATCAAAACACTTCCATCATGGCTACACTGAAGAGCAAACTGGTTTGGATTGACTGGCCTACCTTGATCATCTCTCAGCCTACTAAAAACATCGTGATAAAGGTCATGTAGTTTCTGCCTCATCATGTTAATGGCTTTGCTACATTGGGCTCGCTCGCTCTCAAGGGTTTCCTTCTTGGCTTGTAAGTTACATACATCATCTTCTAAATTCAAAATTATGTCTAATTTGCGTTTACGGCAGTTCTGAGCGGCAACTTTATTTTTTCCTCTTCGTCTGATGTCACGGATGAGTGAGACTTGTAAATCTGTCAGATAGTGCCTACTTAACATGCTGTTGAAGGAATCGACAGGCATGCGGACAATTTCATCTACAGAAAAAGGGATACGCAGAGCTTTAGCACACCGTTCATCACGGCTCAAGTTTCTGTCTGTGTCATCAGTGCACTTACTCATCTTCTGTGATGTCCCAGACCATGAAAAAGGCACAGAAGTGGATTCTGGTGCACATGGCTGGAAGTGGTAAGTATGGTTGTGCAATACATGTTGAAATGCAAGATCCCCGTGGTCTGTGTGGTGAAACTTACTAGGTTCTGGGTAGTAGCCTCCTACAGCCCCTTCTAAATCACAAGAAAGAGGTTCAAGGTCACTGTTAGAACCTGTAGCACCTTCACACACAGAATGAGAAGAACTAGACTTGCTAACAGAGGTGCTGTTGTGACTTGAATTTAAGGAAAGATCAGAATCAGAATCAGGTTCTTCAAAAAGCTGGGAAATTTCTACTGGATTAAACCCTTCTTCTATGGCCAGTGATGTTAAGTTTATCTCATCAAACATGGTTATATCAAGGTCATGTAGTAGGTCTTGGCTTGTGAGATTCCTCATCTGATTGTCAACAGGTAGAAGTCTTGTGAGATTAGTTCCATGGAAGGTTTGCTCAGGATTGGTGGGAGGAGAAAACTGAAGAAATGGTTCTTGTGCCTGGGAAGTCCTTGACGTGGGATCTCTTCGAAATGTACTGTTAGGGTACAGTAGCATGGCCTCATGAAGATTCACATCGTGACTCAGAGCCTGGCTGAAGTCTATATGTGCTGGAGAATTCATGCCATCACTGATGTTATCTTGAAGAGAAATATCCTCTAATGAGGTGCCCTGAAAAAGAAGGGGAAAAGTCACCTTGAATATGTGTTCCAAAACCTCCCGTTTTAGGCAGTTTTTATATTCTAGTGGGTTAATTCCCTACAGCGTGAGAAAGGAGCCCAAAATCAGAATATGTTCTACTTGGGGAGAAAATTACTTGAAAACCCAGAAGCAGTAATTCTCATCTTGTAACTTAACCACTACATAGTATGCAACTCTCAGCTACTGGTCCATAGCTTAATAAGCTATCTTGAGGCAAAAGATCTTACCATTACAATGACTTAAAAAAAAAAAAATTTAAGCTTATACCTAAGTTTATCAAATATTCTATTTTGTTTCAGTGTGAAGTATTAGATAGGTTTATCCTTTTGCAACAAAAGAACAGCATACATATTTAGGTAATTTCTAGGTATTTCTATAACAAAATCTCAAAAAACAATGCACTTGAAATTAAATGCGGGTGAGTTTTCATTGCTGTGTCATCCAAGTAAGAGAGTTGTTCGCAGATGTCGGTGCCCCTATGTTCCTGAAAAGGGAAAGCCAAGATTCCAGTTACCTCCAGTGAATATTCTGGCTGTGAGGAAAGCAACTGAAATAAGTCCTCCAGAGAGAGAGAAGTATCTGCTCCATTTAGCTGTATCTGTAGAAAACAAAAAATGTACATCATTGTTCTGGTAAGATACGTAAGTTGCCTGGTATTTAAGGCCCTAAGGACAACCAGGTCAATCTCTTGTTTCTCTGTTGAACTTTCTGTGTCCTTCTACTATGATATTTTCTGTTTTAAATATATCATTTATTTGAAAGAGAGGTCTTGCTCAAGGAGCCAAGTACTAGGGCCATCTTCTGCTGTCTTCCCAGGCACATCCCTGGGCTCTTAGGAACCCAAGAATAGCTAGGACTCAGACCAGGCACTGAAATGAAAGGCAAAAGCAGGTGTAGCCAAACAGCACCTTCCTGTTCCACAATGCCCACCTCTACTCCAGTTAAAGGCAAAAGCTAGTGTCTATGTCTTTGTTAAACAAAGCCATTTCACCATTCCTGCCCATATAATTTCTGTCTGGTATATTTTTGTTCCAGCTTAGTGTGTCCTACCATAGGCAGCCCTCAATTGTTTAGAGGGTTATGTACTTTTTAATAGTCATGCATACCCAAGTGTTTTACCAGCCTATTGCTTCCTCTCTCCTTCCTGCCTTCAGAGTTTAGATTGTTTTTGAGAATTCATGTGCTTTTGCTCTTTTTAGAGTGGCTAAGTTTCTATACCTAGAACTATTAACTGATTAAAATATCAGGCTTAATGTTTCCCCTCAGGATTTTGTCTTAGCAAATCTATCGACAGCAATATATGCCTATCAACTTTAAAAAAAAAATTTTATTTGAAAGCAAGAGAGAGAGGTCTCCCATCCTCTGGTTCACTCCCCCACTTGGCCACAACAGCTGGAGCTGCACCGATCTGAAGCCAGGAGCTTCTTCCTGGTCTCCCACGCGGGTGCAGGGCCCAAGCACTCGGGCCATCCTCCACTGCCTTCCTGGGCCACAGCAGAGAGCTGGATCGGAAGTGGAGCAACTGGGACTTGAACCTGTACCCATATGGGATGCTGGCACTGCAACCAGCAGCTTTACCCGCTATGCCAGAGCACCAGCCTTAGTTTGTCTTGCAGTGCTTAGTGCTCCAGATCCTCTTAATGTGAGGACCATTTTAATTCCAGAAATAATTTGCCCTAAACATTTAAATATCTCTTAGCTTCTGGAACTACCATTAGAAAAAAATTTCTTTCACTTTATCATTGTCTCACTTTTTGTATTTGGCATCCTTCTCTAATACATTAATTACTTTTACTCCCAATTTACCCCTTTACTGAATTTTTTAAAAAGACTACTTGTATATAGAACTTCATCTGGCATCTTCACACTTTATGCTAGTCTGTTCTTCGATTCCATCTTGAATAAATGTCTTGGTTTTACAGAGTTGTTTTCATAACATGATCTTGACATTTTTCGTGCATGCTGGCTGTTTCTTCGTGTCATCTGTCATTTTTAAAAGGTGAGCTCAGCTTTGTTGGGAGCTGTTTTTATAGGAAGCCCACACACCAACAGTTATTGAGACGGTTTTACACTAGGATTTCCTGGTGGTGGCACCAGTGTGGGTTCAGACCCTGGAATTATTCTCGGTGTCCTGATTTCTAAAGGATGAATAAAGTTGTTCCAGTCCCTGTTTCCTGGAAAACCCTTCAAGAATTCTGAGCTTTAAATGGGAACCTTACTGCCCTATTCTCCCAACCACTCAACCCATGTTTCCCTCCTGACTTGTTCTGATTCCTCTTCGGAGTCTTGGGCTGCGGTGCCTGATTATCAAATTTGCCCACTCTGTCACTTCCGTCCCCTATGTTGGATTGTGTGTGTGTGTTTTTGTACAGATACTTTGTTTCCATTTTTGCCAAGTACTTGGGCTCTGTGAAGCCATGCTTTCAGGGTCCATAATACATTAGGCTTTCTGTGTGAGTTTTCTGTGGATGCTTTATTGACTTTTAGTTAAATTTGTCAGTAAGTTTCTCGTTCTTTAGCTGGAAAATGATTCCTCACTTGTCAGCTTTCAGAAGTGTTCTATTACTTATGACCTCACGGATCAAGCTTTGCTGAGAAAGGGTGACAAACACAGATCTACAAAACCAATCCTTAATGGTGGGTAAAACCTGTTATGTGCAGAAAGGAAGCCTTAACACTTGGAACATAGAAGCATGGGTATGAAGAGCATTCTGCTTAAAATGAATGTCATTATCTGAGGGGCTAACTCCTCCCCCGTCAGGTTGGGTGATGGTCCAAACAGGTGAGATGGGAGGCTGTGAGAGGACAGCTTCCCTTAGAGACAACAGCTCTTGCTGATCTTGAGCTTCCCAGCTCTCATGACTCCCCCACCCCCAAGACTCCTTATCTCAGTGGCAGTGATTGTTGGTAGTTGGTGGGGCCTTCCTATTCCTTGGCCTTTTGCTTAAGCACGCCCTCATCTCTATTTTTAATCATCCCTCAAAATTAATCCCAAAGCTTTATTCTCTGCTGGGAGTTTAATCCAAATTCCCAGGAAATTAAGCCAGATTTTTGTTATTCTTCCTAACAGGACACCCACATCCTACATCAGAGTGCCTGGGTTTGCGTCCCAGCTGTGGCTCCTGACTCAGGCTTCCTGCTAATGCAAGCTTTGGGGGGCAGCAAGTGATAGCTCAAGCAATTGGGTTTCTGCCACTCAGATGGGAGACCTACACTGACTTCGGGCTTAGGCCCCAGCCCTGGCCACAGGCATTAGGAGAGCGAAGCAGCACCGAGGAGCTCTGTGTCTCCATGCAGCTGGTTAAACCACTGCTCCCGGCACCCACATCCCATGCTGGAATGCCCAGTCAAGTGCCAGCTACTCTGCTCTCCAGTCCAGCTTGCTGCTAATGTACCTGAGAAGCTGCAGTTGATGTTCCAAGAGTTTGGGGCCCTGCCACCCATGTGGGAGACCCCAGGTGGCGTTCTTGGCTCCTGGCTTCAGCCTGGAACATTCATACTGTTGAGGCCATTTGGGGAGTGAACCAGAAGATGGGAGATCTGTCACTGCCTTTCAAATAAATTTTAAAAATTAAGTGCACATGACAGTTTTATTTTAGTCCAAGAATTCCTTGCATTTCAGAAAACTAGGATATTCAGAGAACATAGTGGATATGTGTAAGAGGGTTTCTTTTTCTAAGATTTTTTATTTGAAAGACAGAAGCTCCCTCTGTCTCTCTTGTAATTCTATCTGCTGGTTCACTCCTCAAATGGCCACAATGACCAGACTGGGCCAGGTCAAAGGCAAGGGCCTCATCTGGGTTTCCCACGTGGGTGGCTGTGGCCCAAACATTTGAGCCATCACTGCTTTCACACACATTTCATTAGCAAAGAGCTGACTCAGAGGTGGAGCAACCACGACATGAACCAGCACCCAGAGGGGATGCCGGCATCGTGGGAGGCAGCTTAACCTGCTATACCACAACGCCGGCTCCAAGAGTTCTCTTTTAAAACATGAAGTTCAACTTCTCTTTAGAGAAAGGAGGGCTTCTCTCCATTAACAGCCTGTGGGTCCAGGAGAGGGGCTGGAAAGAAGTCACTGTCTAAGTTAAGCACGTACGCCGAGTGTCCTAAGTATTCTTCCAGGGTGGTCACCTGGGATGCAAATGCCCTGACCAACACCCTTGTTTTCTTCAACAGCCAGGGAAAGCAGCGAAGTAACATCTCAGGAAAGGAGCAAATACACTGCCAGAGCTGCTCTGACAACTACTGTCTGCCAAGCAGAGACGGGATATAAATGCTAGGAACATGGGGTACACAGGCGCCAAGCCTGCTAAGAACTAAGGCACACATGCCTTGCTTTGAATGACTAATGTGCTTCTGTAAAGTTGTGTCCAAATTGATGCGTGTCCTATGTCAAAGTGCATGTTAACTCCTCCCAAGGGCGCTCCCTCCTGCATCTCGGTTAGCAGCTTCTGAGTGCCCCACACGTCCGGGGGGGAGCTGGTTGCTACAGTGAAGCAGAACACACTGCTTTTCTGGAAGGCCAAGTGAGGCAAAGGTAGAAAAAGCACCCAGTGGTGTAAGGGGACGGGCAATGGGGTGTTCAACAGGTGGCAGAGGCACTGGGAGACATCCTGTCCCTAAAAGATGGCCGGGAGGCACTGAGGAAGCAGACGTGGTTCTTCCAGTGTCCTGCCCGGGGTAGGGGTTGACAGAGTGGAGCTGGGGGGACCCAGGCAGGTGTGGAACACCTGTGCATTTACAGACTGCTAGGCTGTGACTGAAGGCTGTCATGGGGTGGAGGCTGGCTCAGCAGGTGGAGATGGGAGGGCTCGTTGTGGGGAGTCCTGTGCCCCTGGCTCTCGCCTCCTACACAGTGGCAGGAAGAACCCCTGTGGGGGTGCTCCCCGCAACTTGGTCTCCATGTGCCCTGTGGCTGGAGGCGGCAAGGAACAGGAGGCAGCGGGCCAAGCGAAAGCTGCACCCTGGGGATGAGAAGTGTGCTTCCCAGGCCAGGTGACCTGGGAGTGATGCTGGGGCCTATGGAAAGAATCCTGCAGGATGGGCTGAAGATGGAGCTGCAGCTGCCCTTACCCAGGGAAGGGCTCTGGGAAGCAACAGTGCCCACCCAACAGCAAAATTGGAGATGTGTCCTGGAGTTGAGGGGACCATTACTGACCTGGCACTGTCTCCCCAAAGTGATCCTTCCCTGGGTTTTCCCCACCCGAGAAGAGCGGCCTCCATGACAGCAGGGGGCAAAGTGGGGCCCTGGAGCAGCCGCACACCCCCTTTTCCACCCCAGCCGGACCTGGTGGCTGCAGCAGCTGAGACAGGAAGAGGGCAGAAGTTGACCTTAGTTCAGCATTTTAATTGCATCAGCAATATTAGCGGTTGCTGCACCTGCATGACCAGAGGGCCTGCCCTGAGCACCTGCAGCGGCCAGGGGAGCGGTGGGCCAGGCAGAGGACAAAACTGGTTTCTGATTTCACTCCAAGTCAAGTGATGTTTGATGTGACGTTAGGTGGCCCAGGCCACAGGGATGGGCTGAGGCAGACACCGCCTCGTGGGAGGGTCATGCCTAGGAGGACAAAGCCAGCCATCTCACCTTCCCTTGTCTTGGCAAACAACCAGCAAACTCCGTGGGCAAGTCCCCGAGGTGTGGGTGGACACAGACAAAATCGAGTTTAACCCATGGGCTGATAATATCATCTTCTGTAAATCAAAAAAGGCTAATGCGCTTAAAAAAAAAAAAATCCTGTGTTTCACCTATCAGATCTGCCAATAGAATAGTTTTAGGTGTTAACTCCATTCTCAAGACGATCGTCGACACCACAAAGTGCACCTGACCCTAGGCGGCAAGGCTGGGAGATGCTCTGAGCTTACCTCACTTCCAGAGCCACTGCCTGCCTCTGCCTCCCAGGCAGCTTTAGCTGCTGCTCTGTTGCCATCTGCAGTCTTTTGCTGGCGTGGCCTCTCCTGGGCTGACGCCTTTGCCTCATCTTCCTGGTGCTGAGAGCCGCAATCCACAGCTTCACCCTTCTCTCTTAGCAAGTCGTTCTCCTGTCAAAGTAACCAAAAATGGGCTTAGGAGAAACCCCAGTTTCACAGAGAAGCCGAGTGGCTTTATAACACCATTCTGTGGTCATGAAAACCTCCAAGGCTGGCATTTCACTATCAAACACACACTTAATTCTGAAACAAAGGTCAGCTTTCTGTCCTGTGCTTAAGTACTCACTCTGAGACAGGCTGTTCTAATCTGTAGAACTTAAACTACCGCCATATGCATTTCCCAAGCTCTAGAATTCAAAAGGTTTGCAAATTAGAATTAGAAATCAAGACACCAGTAGGCAGGTTTTATTTATGCTGTCTCTGTTGAAAACAGATCAAATAGCTGAAGTGAAGGCTAACGTGGGGGCCAGAACTGTGGCACAGAAGGTTAAGCTGCCAGCATCCCATATTGAGTCCTGGATGTTCCACTTCTGATCCAGCTCCCTCCTAGTGAGAGGAGAGAAAGTGGTGGAAGATGGCCCAAGTGCTCTGGCCCCTGCGCCCACTTGGGAGACCTGGATGAAGCTCCAGGCTTCAGCCTGGCCCAGCCCCGGCTGTTGCAGCCATTTGGAGAGTAAACGAGCAGATGGAAGATCTCTCTCCCCATCTCTGCCTTTCAAAGAATTAATCTTTTTTTAAAAAATTAATGTTAAATAAAATTCCCCCAAATGCCTGCAGGGGCTGGGGCCTGGCTGAGGCCTGAGCCAGTAAGCCAGAACTAATCCAAATCTCCCCCGTGAGTGGTAGAAACTGAACTACTTGAGCCATCACTGCTGCCACCTAGGATCTGCATTAGAAGGAAGCTGGAGGGGGCCGGCGCCGCGGCTCACTAGGCTAATCCTCCGCCTTGCGGCGCCGGCACACCAGGTTCTAGTCCTGGTTGGGGCGCCGGATTCTGTCCTGGTTGCCCCTCTTCCAGGCCAGCTCTCCGCTGTGGCCAGGGAGTGCAGTGGAGGATGGCCCAAGTGCTTGGGCCTTGCACCCCATGGGAGACCAGGAGAAGTACCTGGCTCCTGCCATCGGATCAGCGGTGCGCAGGCTGCAGCGCGCTGGCCGTGGCGGCCATTGGAGGGTGAACCAACGGCAAAGGAAGACCTTTCTCTGTCTCTCTCTCTCTCACTGTCCACTCTGCCTGTCAAAAAAATAAATAAATAAAAATAAAAAAATAAAGAAGGAAGCTGGAGGGGCCGGCGCTGTGGTGCAGTGGGTTAACGCCTTGGCCTTAAGCGCCAGCATCCCATATGGGTGCCGGTTCTAGTCCTGGCTGCTCCTCTTCTGATCCAGCTCTCTGCTATGGCCTGGGATAGCAGTAGAAGATGGCTATTCAATATAGTACTGGAAGTTTTAGCCAGAGCCATTAGGCAAGAAAAATTAAAGGGATACAAATTGGGAAGGAAAAAGTCCCTCTTTGCAGATGATATGATTCTTTCTTTAGGGGATCCAAAGAACTCTACTAAGAGACTACTGGAACTCATAGAAGAGTTTGGCAAAGTAGCAGGATATAAAATCAATGCACAAAAATCAACAGCCTTTGTATACACAGGCAATGCCACAGCTGAGAAAGAACTGCTAGGATCAATCCCATTCACAATAGCTACAAAAACAAATACCTTGGAATAAACTTAACCAAGGAAATCAAAGATCTCTATGATAGTTACAAAATCTTAAATAGAAGAGGATACCAAAAAATTGGAAAAATCTTACATGTTTATGGGTTGGAAGAATCAATATCATCAAAAGAAATTTATAGATTCAATGCAATATCAATCAAAATACCAAAGACATTCTTCTCAGATCTGGAAAATCCACGTGGAAGACCCGGAAGAAGTTCCCGGCTCTTGGCTTAGGATCGGCGCAGCTCCGGCCAAGGCGGCCATCTGGGGAGTGAACCAGTGGATGGAAGACCTACTCTCTCTCAGGCTCTACCTCTCTCTGTAATGCTTTCAAATAAATAAAATAAATCTAAAAAAAAAGAAAAAAAAGGAAGCTGGAATCAGAACAGAAGCCAGACGCCTGGAATATGGGTGTCTTAATGAGTGTCTGAACCGGTAGGCCAAAGGTTTGCCTCTCAGTAGACGTCTTCAACTCTGCTTGTGTACCCAGCTGAGTCCTTCCACTATTCTTTTTTTTTTATAATTTATTTATTTGAAAGTCAGAGTTACACAGAGAGAGAGAGGTCTTCCTATCCGATGGTTCACTCCCCAGATGGCCGCAACAGCCACAGTTGCGCCGATCCAAAGCCAGGAGCCAGGATCTTCTTCTGGGTCTCCCACATGGGTGCAGGGGCCCAAGGACTTGGGCCATCTTCTACTGCCTTCCCAGGCCATAGCAGAGAGCTGGACAGGAAGTGGAGCTGCCGGGTCTTGAACCCATATGGGATGCTGGCACTTCAGGCCAGGGCGTTAACCCACTGTGCCACAGCGCCGGCCCCCCACTTTTTTGAATTAAATAGACTTAAGTAATTAAAACACGCAAATCATGACCATTCAGCACATGCTGTTTCAGGACCGGCAACCATTTTTCTGCCCAGGGTCATCTGGGTATTTATAACACCATTTGCAGGCTATACAGAATGATCAGCTTTGAAAGGAGCCTGTTACAGAATTTTTTGAATTTGAAGCCCACCTGAGGTCGCCTTGGAAGGGCCCAACCCCAGGATTTTGTGGGCCTCACCCTGCCCTGGCTTTAAAAGCTGTCTGTGTGTTACTCTTCCCCGCTAACTTCACAACATTGCAAACTCTTCTGAAGGGTCCATTTTTCATTTCTGACTTCCAGAAACGTGGCGCCGTGGACTCACTCAAGGACAGCACCCTGTCCCCACCCAAACCACAGACATGTTCATCTTTAAAAAAAGTGGAAGTTAAAGGAACAGAAATTAAAAGTTGTCAGAAGCAAGGAGCGGAAAAAGCAGCCTAGGAGGCTCTGCCTTGCCTGTGGCTCTCGGTGGCTCTGTGCCACCCGATCCTTCCCCAACCTGTGTGAGTGGCTGCTTCCTGTCTGCTGCACAGTCCCCACTAGCCTACCCACACAGACCACCGCCTGCTTCCCCACTCCACATGCTCATTAGATCCCCCTGCATTTTCCCGCTCGCTCTCTGAACAAAACCCTCCCAGGAGTTGCCAGGACTCAGGGTGTCCCCTCTCGACCTTGCTCCAATGTGGACTTTATTCCCACCGCTCCACGGCCCATGGCCCAGAACTCTCTCTCGGATCCATGGGTTCTCCAGCTTCAGCCCATGGGGTCCAGCAGCCTCCTGGCTGCAGCTTTTCCGGCTGGGGTCGGAGTGGACTTCCCCTTGCCGATCCCTCACCTCCCCCATCTCTAAACACAGCCATGCCCCAGGGCTTGCTCCCCAGCCCCACCTGAGCTCCCCACTTGTGGCTGGACTGGTTGCTCCTGCCCCTGCGGCTTCCTCCAGCATCCTCTTCAAACATCACCACCCTGCTTTTCTCTCCTAATCGCTCCTGTGGAGCAGAGCCCCTCTCCCTACCTATCGGCTTTGGCTGGCTTTGTTTTTTTCCATAGAGTGTCAGCAGATCTCTTACCATATTTGTTTGCTGTCGCACTAGAGTGCAACTCTTTTGAAGGCAGGGACTCTGCCTGGTTCCTGCTGTGTGCCCAGAGGCTGGCACATAACAGATCCTGAGCAGCTACTTGGTGAATGGCTCAACCCTTGCACCGCACCTCCTAACACTTCAGTGAGGATCCTACCGACAGAATGTTCTTCCCTGCAGTGACAATGCCGATTCCCATCCACGTGTGGGAAGGAGGGAAAAGGTGACCTCTCTCAGCTCACCAGTCATGACCGCTCATCTCTTGCCTAGGCGAGAAAGATAATCAAATTCAAAGCTGGATTCCTGTGGCAGCTAATTCGCTGTTGGTAGACAGAGGAACTTTTAAAATTTAAATCTCATGATTTTAGAACCATGAAGCCAGGCCTTCTTAGTTCATCTGTAATATGTGGGTAAATAGAACACACAGGACACACATATAAGACCACTTCAAAAAGTCTGTTTCATGTCAAATTTTCTGATTTTGGTAACTGGTCAAATAAAAGAAAACCATTGCTCTTAGGAAATAAGACACTAAAGTCTTATATATATACTGAGGCAGTGACTTCACCATTAAATGTTTCAGAGCAAAAAGATGATCTATATAGAGAGAGAATAGGTATAATTTTCAAGTTTATCTGGCAGAGAGAGTGAACACAACAGGAAGCTCTCATCCACTGGTTCACTCCCAAAATGCCCGCTACGGCCAAGGTTGGCGGGGCTGGCAACAGGAATGCAACCCAGGGCTTCCATGTGGATGGCAGGGGCTCAATTACTTGAGTCATCACTGCTGCCTCCTAGGGTCTACACTGGCAGAAGCCAGAGTTGGGAATTGAACCCAGGCACTCCAACATGGGAGTCAGGCTTTTTTTAATATTTTACTTTATTTATCTGCAAGGCACAGTTACAGAGAGAGGAAGAGACAGAGAGAGGTTTTCCATCTGCTGGTTCTCTCCCAAAATGGCTGCAACAGCCAGGGCTGAGCCAGGCAGAAGCCAAGCGCTCCATCCAGGTCTCACACATGGGTGACGGGGCCCAAGCTGCTTTCCCAGGCGCATCAGCAGGGAGATGGATTAGAAGTGGAGCAGCTGGGACATGAACCAGTGCCCAGATAGGATGCTGGCACTGCAGGCGGCATCTTAACTTGTTGTACACAACAGCAGCTCCAAGGTTCAGGCCTCTTAATCACTAAGCTAAAGGCCAGCTTCCAGATAGGTGTAATTATTTTAATTGCAATGTTATTAATATAAAATGGGAAAAATGTAAATAACAGGTAAATCTTACTAAAGAATATATGCTATTCTTCCCATTTGTTTTAAGTTTTAAATTAATTTTAACTAAAAGGTTACCCTACAAATCCTTACATAGCAAAGTCACTGTGGCCAAGGCAACAGCAAAAAGTTAACCTAGAAGTTCCTGCCATTAAATTGCCCATTAATCATATTCTTTCTCCCAAAATGT